TATATTAAAACATATGTACAATCAATTTTATAGAATGGCAAAATGGAAGAGCTATGCAGTAATACATGTCTTGTCTCGTTTGAGTAAAGGGTCGAAGAATATCCACCTACTGATAATATAATTTTAAGAAGGATTACAGACTTGTTTTTATGTTTTTTTAAAGAAAGAGTAACTTTTAGCACACTCCAGAAAGAAGCAGGTCTTTGCATGCAGTTCTTTTGCCCCATCCCCTAAAACAAATCCGCTGTCCTGTTATCAAGAGTTAGCAAGTCAGCACATAAACTACAGAAAGTCACTGTTGAATTTATTTTCCATTTTTTGGACGACTGTTGGCACCATGCTGTTTAAGTTTCTGTTGTAATGTGTCCAATACAGTTGTCCCACAAATCAATCGCAGCTTCTCAACCAAAAGCAACTCTAAAGCAATACAACCCATACTGGTGCAACATGTTACATTTGAATTGCCTGATATGAGTCCACTCAGGGACAAACTGAGCCATGTCCAAAGTGGGAAAAAAAGACATGACATTATTTGACAATCATCGAAAATCAAACATTTTAATAATCACAGCAACATATTTTAGCAGAAAGACAAACTGGCATACTATTAATTGTATATCAAATATCACAGACAAGAGGTTGATAAAAGCTGCAAACTAGCATCCATATTGGTCTCTCCGACTTGCTTTCTATTGTATACTTGGTAGGAGTATGTAGGCCTACTAGTGTTTACATCGTCTTGTCAACGGCTGTTCATGCAAGAGTGCACTTCAGTTACTGTGTGTTTACTGCTTCCTAGTGTACTATATCTGCTGTTACAGCACATGAAGGTAAAATAATGATTTGGGCTCTTGTTTGGGTATAATCATAATGGTTTTCCATTTGAATACATGTCGGATTGGAGTGAGAATGTAGACATTGCTTATTTCCAAAAGCCTGGACCCAAAACGGACCTGCATACAGTATGCTCATTCGTTGTTTTTGACCAGGCTGCATAAAGTGGGCGACCGTGGACCAAAGTAGGACCACCATAAATTTGGATTAGCCCAGCAGATATTTATAGTAAATATAAATTACTCATGTGCTGCTTTTTTCTTTTTTATAATCTGATCACTTCAGGCAGAGTGACAATTTGCACAAATATAATTTCAAAGGAAAATTTGGATCCTATTTTGCATCTTAATGCGTTTTTCCCCATGGCCAACTATTCCGTAGTTATAAATTATACAAACCACCGTCAATACAAAGAATAAGTCTGGAAAATGCAATTTCCCACTTATGTGCATGTACTGAATAATTATTATGACAACTGTACAGTGGGAGAAGCTGTAAACATTATAAGAATTGCTACATCTCTGAAATATATGTAAGACATGGCATTGGCTATACAGTAATGGTAATTTTAGTAAACTACATCAAGTCAGAAATTAAAACATTAGATAAGCAATGCATTTTCCAGTAAACTAAAGGAACACAACTACTACTGCTGTATAATATTACAAACAATTTGATGATTATTTAGAATTGTCAGTTTTAAAAAAAAAGCTTTAAAAACGTAGGGGAAAATTGCTGTGTTGTACTCGATATCAATCAGAGAGTACTGTAGAAATACATATACAAAACCCAGTTAAAATTAATATAAAATAAAACAATAAAATACATTTAAATAAAAAACATTTGCTCAGAAATGCCAAATGCTCAGAAACATTCATAATAAGAAAATAAACAATAATTCCCCTCACATATTTTCAGTAAACACACCAGCATACACAGATATACTGTACACTGGCCTTCTGTACACAGACCACCCACACATACACAACACACACACACACACACACACGCACACGCACACGCACACGCACACGCACACGCACACGCACACACACACGCACACACATAGGCAGAGGCAGAGTGGAATTTGAGAAATGTGAGTCACACACATTAGTAAGGCTCAAAACATTTAAATACTCCCACAATGCATGTCAACTCCTACTCTGGGAGAAAGCTGTTAAATAATGTAAATTCTACTACAAACCCTTTGTTTTGTATCATGTAAATAAATGAATACATGTCAAACTATCATTTACCAATGACTAATGAAATTCAACATAAAATACAATCCTTTAACCGCTTTATAAGAAATAAAAGGCTGTAGGCTGAATACCCTCCAATAGATGGTGACCTTGTGATTTTCTGAAGCTTGTGTGACAAGGTTGCGACCTCTGTGTGCGTTTGTATCTCTCTTGTCCAATAAAATCATCTCATACAAAAGATTTTTCCTGTGGCTTCCCCTCTCCGTCTGCACCTGTACCTGGGTTGTCTTTCAGCACTCCAGCAAAAGTAGGCAGTCTTCCTCTGCTTTGCTGAGAGGACCCCAAATGCAGCAGAAAGCCCCCCACCATGAGCAGCAGGCCGGCCCCCCAGCCCAGGTACAGCGCTGGGCCCAGCTCTCTCTTATAAGGCGCTGCGATATTGGGATCATAGAAGTCCCGGATAGTTGCATGGGCGGTCCAACAGATGGGTATCATGAACGCCAAGCCAGCCACCAGGAAGAGCACCCCTGCTATCCTGCCCACCCGAACCTTGGAGGCCTGGTTACCATCACCCATGCAGTGAGTGCACTTGGCCCCCGCCACCCCGAGCATGAGGGCCAGGAGGCAGAGGAGCAGGGAGAGAACAGTGAGGCCCCGGGCGGCTTGGGCAGTCACAGGAAGGGCCAGGGTGGAGTCATAGGTCTTGCACTGGATCTGGCCTGTGGTCTGAGACAGGCAGTTCATCCACAGTCCCTCCCACACCACCTGGGCAATCACCAGCTCTCCCCCCACGAAGGCGGAAACACGCCACAGAGGAGCCGCACACACCAACGCCCCGCAAACCCAACCCAGCACCGCCAACACCAAGCCCAGCAGCTGAAGACCTGTTGAAGCCATGGCTGCTGAAAGACACTTGAATGTGCTCTCAATGTAAGAGAAATGTTCCTTACAATAATCTCAGTCCAATCACTACGATGCTGCTGAGCACTCAGTAGATGAAAGTCAAGCCTTCACAGAGTTTATTTATTCAGTAAAATGTCCAGTGACTGTGAGAGCCCCTTGTTCTCTTCAGTTTCTTGTTCACCACCTGTTGTTAGATGACAGTTTTCATTACATTAAATTCATGGAAGCACATTTTAAATGAACACATTAGATGAATACTCCACCCCCCAAACAGGATAATTTGTATATACAGTAATTGTGTATCCAACCTGGAAATTGTAAAGAAAATATTGTTTTACTCATGTCTCCACGGGGAGTAGGAGCGTTTTAAATGAAGTGTATAGTGACATTTTAAAGTAGAAAGCATATGACTGGAGAGAGTTTGTCAACAAATGTTTTGATCACATTTTGTGGCACCCATTTGCTTCAATTCCTCAAGAATTTCTGAATAGTTTACTGTTCTACATACATAGGAAAAACTAAGTTTACATAAGAAATTCAAGCTAACAGAAATAAGTAATTGATACATAAATTATTATTTTTGCATTGAAGCATTCCTTCAAGTCATTATAGATCTGAACTAATGGCATGACATTTTTTTTTTAATGTAACAGTAAAGTAATTAAGAATAAAAGCATTGAAATCCATCTGGACCTGTTCTTCTAATTTTCCCAGTTACAACTAAATACAACTTTAAAAATCTTACCTTTTAATCAATAATCTCACAATCAGATGTCCAAAGAGAGCAGGTTGATGATTCTTCGTCGTTTCTGGGTTTTATAGTCGTGTGATGTGAGTAGTTGGTGTCTTTCTTCTGTTATGACTGGCCAGCTTGTCTCTCTGGATTTCATACACAGGGGTGTGGGAGGGCAGCAGTGTGTAATACTGCATACTAAGCACACACGCACACACACACACACACACACACACACACACACACACACACACACACACACACACACACACACACACACACACACACAGCTAGTTATGCAAAGTAATACAGCACAAAGACACTTTGTTACAGACATTGTTGATTGCTACCATGTTGTCATATCTTGGAGTCGGAGGGGCCATATTGAAGCGGTGAATGGAGCCGAGGAGGAGATTGGAGACCTGACAAGTGGAACATTGAACAACCCCATTGTACAAAACTATCAAAACGAGTGAAGAAAATCTACTCTAATGTCTTTATTAGCTAGCAATTTAGTTGTTGATATCGTGCAGGTGGGTAAATGGAGAGTTGCTCTTTAGAGACACTAGATGGCATTAGAGCAGGGGTTCTCAAAGTTTTGATGAGTGAGGGCCAATTTAGGTACCCAATATTGGATTGAGGGCTGCCCAAGAAAAAACGGAACACAAAATAATTCCAAAACAAATCCTTTCTTTATTGTACTAACCAATTATACATACAGTAGCCTATACATTAAGATTAATCAAACATTAATTTGTCTCAAAAGTGCCTTGCAAACACACACGCGCACACACACACACACACACACACACACACACACACACACACACACACACACACACACACACACACACACACACACACACACACACACACACACACACACACACACACACACACACACACACACACACACACACACACACACACACACACACACACACACACACACACACACACACAGAGAGAGAGAGAGAGAGCATTGTGCTGGAGTGAGTGATATGCTGTGGATTTCCTGTCTTATCAGCAGGGCCCTGATTCAGAACCAATTCCAGATACTCAAGCACCACAGGATAACTTATACAGAGAGACAGAGAGGGGGGAGGGAGAGAAAGACACTTTTAAAATAGAAGCTTACCAAAGACCACAATAACACAGTATTCATCATCTTCATTGTTATTATTATTGTTGTTGTATTTGTAACACAAATTGGCTATTATTGCCTGTCATCAACATATCTTTTCCTACTTTGAATGGGATGTTATGGTGCTGTCTTCTGTTGGCTACTATTCCGGTTCCATCTCCGTTGTTGCTATACGAAGGACAGCATGTAGATGGGCATCCGTCAGCCTGGATCTCAGCTTCGATTTGTTGATGGCCATGGTGGAGAAGGTTTTTTTTATTATTTTTTTATTTCAGCGTGTCACATTAACTATCGCGGGCCGCCAGAAACATTTCCGAGGGCCGCCATTGGCCCGCGGGCCGCACTTTGAGAACCCCTGTCTTAGACCAATAACTTATCCCACTGCTGTATCTGGGGCTTCCAAATCTAAATATTGCCTAAATAGTCCAAACAGCTCTTGAAGAGCTTGGATTATTCCTTGCGGTATGTCAACATGTCTCGAAAGTGCTTGCAGGAGGTACAGCTCCTGGCGACATACAAACTCCAGGAAATCCAGGTCAAGTGGTGCTTGAATGAGTGCAAGCTCAAACTTCGACAGGAGTCTCTCCAGGATCTGCCGTCCCAGAATATGGTGTGAAGAAAAATAAAGTACACTTTAATGAACTAAATTAATACTATTCAAGATTCCTTGAATATATGTGTTTGTAAACCCTAACTAAGGTGTAACAGTCCTTTTTTCAGGTGGAGCTAATATTTCCTTCTGATCAGAGTTTGTTAATTCAGTTATGACGCTATACCACAATTATCTATTCACTATTTTATTTGTATTTAATTATATTTTTAAGAAATGTGGTAAAACTTTATTGAAACAAGTATGTAAAATACAGAATAAGGCACATAAACGTCGATGTTCATCATATACATTCCAAAAAATAAGCTGAGGGCATTTGAACAGTAAAAAACTAAATGCAAGTGGTCATTCAGAAATTAAAGTGCTAAGAAACTTGCAAAATTCTTGGGCTTTTTTACTTTGTATAATTTTATACTTTTTTGTATAGTATTCATTCTTTGAGAAAGGCAATAAAAGCTGGGGACATTTTGAAAATGGGACATTTGTGAATAAAATATTTTGCTAAAATAATCAAATTATTAAAGGTCCCATCCCAGATAGAAAAATACATTAATTCAACATTGGATTTTGGTTAAATTGGTTATTTTTGGTTGAGGTTGAAAAATCAATGTTGATTTGATGTGTTATTACAGACGTTTGAACATTTTTTGTTGAATCAATTTAATATAGATGCCAGTTTTTCAATTTTGAAATTCCCTACAATGAATTTACATTGTTCCAATGTGAGACCAACTCTCCCCTCCCCCTCGCCTATAGGCTAATTGTATTTAAAACACAGTATAACAAGGATTTTTGAGTTAAGACCGTTGCAGTCACATTTTTTCTCCATGGAAACCCTGACGACTGCGCGCATGCGCATTGCTTTCGTCTACGGGGTTTCCACAGGGTCTGAGCAGGGTCCCGTAACTGTCTCTGAGCGGCGCTAAGCGAATTTGTCGGACATTTTGCGGACAGAAACATCGACGTGTGGCCGAATTTGGATGTGAAGTTGGGGATTCTTGGGACATTTGTCTACCTCGTTTGCCTAATCAGGTAAATGTGTGTTTTACCTAACAAGGAATGTTAACAGTAAAGTGCACTGTACTATTTAAACCAGGGGTGCCCACACTCTTTTGGCTGGTGAGCTACTTTTGAAATGGCCAGCTCACCGAGGTATAACAACCAAAAATAAAATCCCAAATTGCAAGGGTTGCTGAATAACACGTTTTATTTATACATGGGATGACTACAATAGGGCTGCAACAAACGACTAATTTGATAATCGATTAATCTATCGATTAATGAAACGATTAATCGACTATTCAGACTATTACTGTATGCCTTGCACAATTTCTCAAACGCTCTTATTTAGCCTTCAACTTTTAGATTTAACTTGAGGTTGTTTTAGGCATGTGGAAACTAACAATGAAGACAATAAAGATGAATACTTGATTCAAAAATACAAATATTATTAAATTAACTTAACAAATTTTGAACCAAATTAACATTGCTTTTTATTAATTATATAAATAATATTTCACATCAAAAGAAA